CAAAAAAAAATCTTGCACCAGGGCCCTTTGTTCCCTAGTTCCGCCACTGTACTGAACTGATGCCTGCAGGTACAGGAAACGTTCATCATTCTATTGCAGCATGGATACAGAGAGACACAACGATTGTAATAGAACACAGATCAAAATCTGTGTGTTTATCTAACTCTGATCATATACATAACAATACACAACAGATCGTACATTTCATTGTCCCCAATGATCTCTCTCTCTTCAAAAACAACTATTCAAACTCCATATAAAACTCAAGTATTTTATGTGGATAGATTCGGTCAGTTGGAATGACAGCCCATAAAAAAAAAATGATCATGTATCGATGGAACCCCTTACATGGTGCAGATTATATTATTATAATATTAATATTCTGATCTCTTTACCTGGCTGTCTACAAAGAGAGCAGAAAAACTGGATCTACTTACCGATCTTTGCCAAGGAAGCCAGCAAGATCCAAAGTGTGATCTCAAAGGGGATCTGAACATGGGGGTAATCCAGGGTAAAGACTGGCAGCCGTGTTTCTGCAGGGGTGACCCCATGGTGGGTAGTAGCTGGCGCCCCGGTATTGCTGGAGCCAGGGGCTGAACTTTGTGCTGGAGTGAGTGTGAGTAGAAAGAGCAGTAAATAGCACAGTCCGGTCCTGGCTGAGAGATGTACCATGGTAGTTGTGGATATCCCCGTGTATGCCCTCTATGGAGACACCATGTGCATTACTGGCTCGGGCTCTGCAGTCAGTGTCACTGATTCAGCTGAGGATACAATTCAATGACTTCCTGTGTCCCCAGCCTCATACTCCGAACAGGTGCTGAACACAGGAGCCGCCTACTGACACAGCCCGGTGTCCTCCTCCCAGGCAGACGTGTGTGCCTTCTACTGCTGGATGAATGAGCTGAAGGGCAATACTGGACTCCTAACACAAGTACAGTACTGGTATAAGAATTGTGCAGGACCATTAAAATAAGAACATTCTTGGTATAAGAAATGAGCAGGGCTCCTAATATAAGGACAGTCCTGGATATAAGAAATGTGCAGTGCAGGACTCCTTATATAAGGACAGTCCTAGGTATAAGAAATGTACAGGGCTCCTTATACAAGGACAGTCCTGGGTATAAGAAATGACCAAGACTCCTTATATAAGGACAGTCCTGGATATAAGGGACGAGCACGACTTCTTATATAAGGACAGTTCTGGATATAGCAAATGAGCAGGGTTACTTATACAAGGACAGTCCTGGGTATAAGGAATGAGCAGGACTTCTTATATAAGGACAGTCCTGGACATAAGGAATGAGCAGGACTTCTGATGGTAGGGCAGTCTTGGATATAAGAAATGTACAGAACTCCTTATATATGGACAGTCCTGGATATAAGAAATGAATAGGGCTTTTTATGTGAGGACTGTCCAGGATATAAGAAATTAACAAGGCTCCTTATGTGAGGACAGGAAATGTACAGGGCTTCTTATATATGGATCGTTCTGGATATAAGAAATTGGAAGGACATCTTGTATAAGAACGGTCCTGGATATAAGAAATGTGCAGGGCTCCTTATGTGAGGACAGTCTGGGATATAGGAAATATACAGGACTCCTTATGTGAGGACAGTCTGGGAAATTAGAAATATACAGGGCACCTTATGTGAGGACAGTCTGGGATATAGGAAATATACAGGGCACCTTATGTGAGGACAGTCTGTGATATAAGAAATATACAGGACTCCTTATGTAAGGACAGTACTGGGATATAGGAAATATACAGGGCTCCTTATGTGAGGACAGTACAGCTTTTATAAAACATAAATCCAAAGTATAATATAAGGAGGGTTAAGTGAAGATGGCTAGCTTACTGCCTTCATTGGAGTACATACATTATTTTGGCCCAGTCAGAGTCCGAGATGATATGGGAAATGGACTGACTTTAAAGTGACACTAAACTCTGTAGCTGAAGCTTGAAAATACATTCAAGCACCCTAACTATTGACATAAATGTATCTTATGTGTGTATCACTCGGCTGTAGATCCTCAAATCATCTCTGAATTGATGCTGACACTGTCCTTCCTTCTGGAGGGTGGCTACTTTTGTTTCCCATGGTCCCTGTGTGTGTACTAAAGTAGCCAACGCTCCAAGCTCACTCCTGTGATGAACTACAACGTCAATACAAATTAGTAGACTAAATGCGAGATTGTAGTCTCATTCAGAGATGATTTGAGGATCTACAGCCGAGTGATACACAAATAAGATACATTTATGTTACTAGGTAGGGTACTCAAATGCACTTTTAAGATTTTACTGATGAGTTTAGTGTCACTTTAAGAGGAAACCATAGGTACATGAATACACTGGAAGAGAGCCCTTCACCATGTTCCTCAGTGTATGATCATATACTTAATATGTTGTGAATGCAAGGTGGACATTTGAACGATATTACTAGATTTCCTAATGAAGTAAAACAAAATCAATTGCTTATGCGTGCCACCATACAACCTCTTTTAAAACCGTGAGGTGTCCATCTAGATTTTAGATCATATCTAGCAATACACAGAGGTAGGAGAGGCACAGAGAGAGGAACCACATCCTTCAAGCATTTTAGTCTATAGCAATAGGGGAGGAACATAAGTTTTATAAGATCACAAACAATTGTCCCCATCATCCCATACAACAGTATTTTTAAATGATCGTCCTCCCTAGCTTGATCACTGTCTCACTCTTTTCTCTAATTACTCTTCTCCTCAAGGGGAGGAGTCCTGAGAGGCCATGGCAGCCTTCTTGTGGCCATGAGGAGAGGAGTCATGAAATGAAACATTCATGGTTAAGCAAAGATAGCCTTGGAACCTGACCTGAGAATGTACAATGATCAAGCTAGGGATGACCATCATTTATAAATACAGCTGTATGGGATGATGAGGGCAATCCTTTGTGATCTTATAAAACTATGTTCCTCCCACTTTGATATAGACCGCCAATGGTTGAAGTATATGATTCTTCTCCTGAGTAATGATAGGTATGATCTAAAATCTAGATGGGTCACCCTTTTCCCAAAGAATCTTCTAGGACCTTTGCACGTTTTAAAAGAGGTCATATGGTGGCACACATAAGCTACTGATTTTGTTTTACTTGATAAGGAAATCAGGAGAGGGCGTTCATATGTTCACATTGTCCCTGAAGAAGTTAACCTGTTTCTGAAACATGTTGGACTTTTTTCTCTGCCTCCCCTATTCGTACTGAGATATGTGAAATGCAACAATATGATATTATTAATTATATGATAGGGGTGGAATAAGGGATTGAATGTATAACTGTACTGATATTTTAAAGTTTTTAATAAAATTATTTTTTTTAATTTCTTTTAAAAAGCAGATCACAATTGTGTGTGCCTTGAAAGTCCCAAACAAATTGTGGAAATGTTGATTATGATCATATCTTTTCTGCCCATTTACAGCCTTACAATATGTCACAAAATTACATATTGGTTCTCCAACAAACATTACTAGCACAGCTTATTCTCATTTGTTACATACACATTTTATATCATGTGTATTTATATTTGTCTTGCTCTACCTTAATTCATTTCCTCACATATATTAACATTCTTGTAGTCACTAAGGAGAATTCAAAGTCCATCAACTTATTCACAGCTCAGTCAGCAGAGCACATATTGTTCAGTTCACATAGTGGAATTATTTGAGTATTAACCCCTTCATTACTGAGGCCTTTTTTTCATTTTTTTGCACCCATGTTATATTCCACATTTTAGGCCTGAAAATGACTTAAAACCCCCAAACATTATATATTTTCTGAATGCCAAGACCCTATATAATAAAATGGGGGTAGTTGCAAATTTTTATGTTGCGCAATATTAGCGCAACTCCTTATTAAACCCCAACATTTAGTTAAAAATGTAATAAAATGCCCCAAAACACAACAAAATACCCATTTTTTTAATGAAATATAAAAGATGAGTCTACAACGAGTAAAACGATACGCAACATGCCCAGGTTACAAATTGCGTGCGTCCATGAAACGACGAAAAACTGCAGTACCCCAAAAAGTCCATAGACGCTTTAAAAGCCCCCACAGGTCATCAATTTAGAGATACCCCAAAATACTGGCCCTAGAATTATTGCTCTCACTCCGGCGTGCGCGGCGATACCCAACATGTGTAGCGAGTTCGTCGGTTTCATACGTAGGCGCACACGACGCGTGTTTACATGGCGACGCGCGTGCTCAAGGGGGCGGGGGACTTTTACATTTTTTTAAATTATTATTAGATTTTATTTAATTTTAAAAACTTTTTTTGTTTTTACTTTGACTGCTATCACATAGGGGGGCTTACAAGCCCCCCATGTGATAGCAGATGGTGGTGACAGGTACTCTTTAAGGTGATACTGGGGGTCCAAAAGACCCCCAGTGTCACCTTTACACTGGAAATAAGCTATTGAAGTGCAGATCGCACTTCAATAGCTTATAGCTGGGCTGCAGGAGCCCAGAACTGACAGCCCAGGGACCGGAAGTGATGCAATCTGCATCGCTCCCGGTCCCATAGAACGGGGAGGGGATCGATGAACGGAAGTTCGTCGACCTCCTCCCCAGCTCCCCGCGGACACAAAGATCGCCGGTCCCGGGCCCGTAGGAGGGGCAACGGAGCCCGGGAAGCACGGCGGGGGTGTCCGGCGGGGGGGGGGCGGCCCCTTCTTCGGGACGCAGAAGCGATCTGGCGACAGGTAAGTCGCCAGGATCGCTTCTGTTGTAAAGCCGACAGTCGGCTCTACAAGTTTAAACAGCCCCGATGCTGGCGACGTACACTGTACGTCGTCAGTCACGAAGGGGTTAAAGCCTAACTCAGCGCTCTTTTTGATCCAACCAAAAAAAAAAATATTTTTACCTACCTTTTGCAGATGTCTTCGTGTGATGCCACAGGGTCCTCTTCATCTTTCTCTTCTTCTCTGACGCTTGGTGGTCCTTAGTGTTGAAGAGAGTAGCACTGACATAATGACGGTATTTACCTTTAATCAGGCGCACTATACAGTATGTAACATGGAGTTACTGCACTATAGAAGTTCACGCTTGTTTTTTTTTTAATTGTTCAAACAGTGCTATTATTGTCCCTTTAGATGGTACTAGTGAGCCATTACTATAAATTCTAGCACGGGAGGTGTCTAAAGTGTATTTGCACTTTTGCAATTAAATTGGGATAACCCTTATTTTACTTTTGTTACACATTTCTCATTCATATAGCATAAAGGTTTAAAAAAATGTTTTATATATACACACATATATATCTATCTATATGTATATATAGATAGGTATATATA